GAGGAAGAGCAGCTTCAGGGGCTGGAGGACGCTGATATCATCAAGTTCACACTCTCTCCTGTCTCTGTGAAGAGTGAAGAAGAGGAGGAAGAGAAACCTCAGCCCTCACAGCTTCATCAAAGACAAACTGAACAGATGAAAACAGAAACCAGCGACTCAGATCCACAAAGACATTTACAACCAGATACTGATGACACGGCCTCAGACTTTTTGGAGACTGATGACGGTGGCGACTTGAGGAAGAGCAGTGAACCTCAGTCAGGTTTAAACTTTCTGAAAAGTAACAGTGAATGTAATACTGGCGAGAAATCAATCAGCTGCTCCGAGTGCGGTAAACAATTCAGCCAAAACTCAAATCTGAAGACCCACATGAGAATTCACACAGGAGAGAAACCATTTAGTTGCTCAGTTTGTGGTAAAGGATTCGCACAAAAGACAACTTTGACCTCACACTTGAGAGTTCATACAGGAGAAAAACCTTTCACATGCTCCGTTTGTAAAGTCAGTTTTAGTCTCAGATACAATTTACACCAACACATGAGAATGCACACTGGGGAGAAACCCTTTGGCTGTTCTGTCTGTGGTAGAAGATTCACACAAAGCTCAACTTTGACCTCACACTTGAGAGTTCATACAGGAGAAAAACCATTCAAATGCTCAGTTTGTAAAATAAGTTTTCGTGACAGAGGCACTTTGTTCAGGCACAGGAGTATCCATACCGGCGAGAAATCATTCAGTTGTTCAGTTTGTGGTAAAGGATTTATACAAAAGGGACATATGACTCACCACATGGCTCTCCACACAGGGGAAAGACTGAGTTGTTCAGTTTGCAATAAAAGATTTATACAAAAGGGCCATCTGACCCACCACATGGCACTCCACACAGGGGAGCGACTAAGTTGTTCATTCTGCAGTAAAAGTTTTATTAAAAAGGTAAATCTGACACGCCACATGGCTCTCCACACAGGGGAGAGACTCCGTTGCTCAGTCTGCAGTAAAAGCTTTAAATATAAAGTAAACCTGACACGTCACACAGCACTCCGCAACTGCAGTGTTTGTGGAAAAACATTCACTTGTCCTTCCCAGCGCAAAAAGCACCAGTGTGTTGGTCGTCAGTCCTCACAGCCTCATCAAAACCAAACTGAAGAGAACAGAGACGCAGAGTATTTGAAAACAGAAGCTGATGAAGAGGACTGTGGGGGACCAGAACCAGCCAGCAACTTTAAACCAGATAGTGATTTTAAACCAGATGCTGGTGACAGAACGTCACACTTCTCTGAAGATGAGACAAAAGCCAGTGATGATTGGAGGAAGAGCAGCGATCTTCAGGCAGGTAACAGTGGATGTAATACTGGTGATAAATCCTTTAGCTGCTCTGACTGTGGTAAACGGTTCAACCATAACTCAAATCTGAAGAGACACATTAGAATCCACACAGGGGAGAAACCCTTCAGTTGTTCCGTCTGTGGTAAAGGATTCGCTCAAAGCTCAACTTTGACTTCACACTTAAGAGTTCATACAGGAGAAAAACCTTTCACATGCTCAGTTTGTCAAACTAGCTTTAATGACAGGGGCACTCTGTATCAACACATGAGATTGCATACTGGGGAAAAACCCTTCAGTTGCTCAGCTTGTGGTAAAAGATTTGCACAAAAAGGAAATCTGACACATCACATGGCGGTCCACACGGGGGACAAACGATACGGCTGCATCTTTTGTGACTTAGGATTCACTGGACTTTATGAGCTCAAAAACCATCAGTGCGTTGGTCGTCAGTCCTCACAGCTTCATCAAAGCCAAAGTGAAGAGAACAGAGACGCAGAACATTTGAAAACAGAAGCTGATGGAGAGGACTGTGGAGGACAAGAACCAGTCAGGAACTATAATCCAGATAGTGATTTACAGTCAGATACTGATGACAAGATGTCAGACTCTGAAAGTGAGACTGATAACAGTTGTGATTGGGAGGAGACCAGGGAACCTCCGTCAGGTTCAAAACCTCTGCAAAACAATGAAGTAACTGATGAGGGATTTAATACTGGAAAAACATCCGGTAGCTCCTCTGAATGTGATGCAAGCGTTGACCACAGGGGACATCTGCTGCAGGAACACAATGGAATCCAAACAAGAGAGAAACAGTTTAGTTGCTCAGTTTGTGGTAAAATATACTCTCAGAAGAAATCCTTAACGAATCACATGAGACTTCATTCAGAGGGAAAACACTTTAGCTGCTCAGTTTGTGAAAAAACGTTTCCTTGGAGAGGAGAGTTTGTGAGGCACATGAGAATCCACACAGGGGAGAAACCCTTCAGTTGTTCTTTCTGCGGCAGAGGATTCGCACGAAGCTCAGCTTTGACCACACACTTGAGACTTCACACGGGAGAAAAACCTTTCACGTGCTCACTTTGTAACACAAGTTTCGCTGACAGTAGCACTTTGTCCAAACACATGAGAATGCACAGCGGGGAGAACCGGTTTAGTTGCTCTGTTTGTGGTAAAGGATTCACTCAGCTCGGTCTCATTAAAAAACACAGGTGTGTTGGTGAGAGCAGTGGAGGTAACTGAAGGATTGAAGGGGTAGACTTCAACACTAATCAGTGAAACTGTGCCTTACGGTATGACTTATATTCATCTATTTAAAATGGATTACAATTCAACTTATACTTTACATATGCTGAGAGAGTTTTTGGTTTCTATGATCATTCTTAACCTTGGTATCTGCATTGTTGTGCCCTTACGACAAGTGTCTCTCCGCATAGAGTACATGACACGCTCAGATCAGATCGCACTGGCAGGAAGAGACACCATAGAGAAACTGGTCAATTTTCAAAATTAAATACAGTGCACAGACTTTCAAATCGAATGTCATGCTACATCAACCTTGTGGCACCAGGCCAGAAGTCAATCAGTAAGAGGAGATTTAAAGCTGAGAAACGTGCTGTTTTGCGTCCTTTTAAGGACAAAATATACAAGTAAACGACGTCGGGCTTTGAAGACTCTGCAGCGCGGACCACAGCGCTTTAAAGCCGGGCTAACACGTCATTGGTTCAAACTTGTGTCTGCAGCTTTATTTTGTATGTTTATAAGTTTAGAACTCAGTGTGTCTTTATTTTCCTTAGGAGGGTTTCATCTCCATCACAGTCTGCCCGAGTCTTCAGTCGTTTTTTAGAAATAGGTAAATTATTATAACTTATTTATACTTTTTTCTGTAAAACAATGTTTTAATTTCATCAAAAATCTTCAAGTGAATCAAGAACATTTAAGAAAATGTTCAATGATAGGCATACATGAGTAAATACAATGGTGGGAGATTAATTTTCAGTTGACATTAAGACATTGTGAAATCTTTGAAAACCAAGAAGAAAAATGTGTAATCCTTTAATATGTATGTCTTTTTAGAAAATGTAATTGTTATGGAACAGTTATACAGTAAATAATTTGTAGATCATCTGTAGCAATAATTGTAAATGATTCAATTGTATTTGAATATTCCTGCATAAACGGGTCCAGAAACAGTGTTGGAGTTGTATAAAATGTGAATAACATAACATAACATTCTTCCTACCGCTGCTGTATAAGTCAGTGGCCCACTTGTGCCACCCCAGTCAAAAAAGTCTGGACACACCCCTGGAAAGGACTGAACAAATCCACTTCTGAGGATATATGAGTCACATTTTTACAAGAATAAAAGATCTTAATTACAAAAGTTAGTATGATTCATTCTCATTAATGTCCTAATAATGTATCTGCATTGTAATAAGTGAGGAGGCTGCCACTGCTGTCGGCTCATTTATGTGTAACTGAAATGTTTAGTAGTGAAGAAGTCACTAAATTATTAATCAGTAATTAATTAAATTCAATCAGTGAGTGTAAATGCTCCTCCA